TCGATCGGCTTCTGGCCACTGGGGACTATGGGCTGGGAGACTTCTTGGCCATCGCCTCTGCGTTTCTTGGGCGTGGGCTGATCCGTGAGATCGATTGTTTCGGCCTGAGCTTGGGCCTCGGGGGGTGCTCTGGAGGGTCCAGGGACACTGTCATGGACGTCTACGGCCATTTCGGGGGCAGGCGAGTCGTCGGGGGGCATGGTTGATACCGGGTTGGTTAGGTTGGGAGGCAATGAGAGGGTAGTAATTCAAAAGGTGCGTCCGCGGAACACTCGATAACGAGATCGGGGCAAACCTGGGGGAATTAGCTCAGATGGTAGAGCGCTCGCTTAGCATGCGAGAGGCACGGGGATCGATACCCCGATTCTCCACTTTCACTGCCCGGCTAGCTCAATCGGTAGAGCGTGAGACTCTTAATCTCAAGGTTGTGGGTTCGACCCCCACGTTGGGCGATCGGCTCCTATGGCGCAATTGGCTAGCGCGTTCGGCTGTTAACCGGAAGGTTGGTGGTTCGAGCCCACCTAGGAGCGATCTCTTTTGCACCCTTTTCACACTCTGTCGATCCTGGCCACTGCCCACTTGCTCTCCTTTCTGTGTTTTCTGTTTCCCTTTTCCTCCATGCGGCTCTCCCAAGGCCTTCGCGGCTGTGTCTCGCTCGGAGGCCGTCTGTGTTCGGTGTGCTGCTTTGTGTGGCGCAGTTGGTTACACGTGACTGGCATTCGCGGCGCCGTTGGTTTGCTCCTTCCCACGATCAATTTTTTCCGGCCCCTCGCGGCTGCTCATCTCGGTCACCTGAAAGTCACGTCGAATGTGGAGCAGCAAAAGTTGGAATCCGGCCATGGTCGGTTGACGGCATTTGGTATCACCTTGAGCCGATTGACGGTGGTGGTGGGCAATTGGTGCGGAGGAATGACCAATTGTATCATTGTTGGAAGCTCCACTCCGATTGCGGACAAGAACCACCACCATCTGAATCTCTCTGGTTGGAAACCTAGTCAAGCGTGGCTGTGTGTCAGCGAGATGACATGATCGTTTGGCTATCAGGCAAGACTCACCTTGACAAGATGTCTTCCCACGACTGATTGAGCGAGCGATGCGTTTCTGGATCTGAATCAAGGACGCCACTGCGCAGTATCTCTGCCAGCCCAAAATGCGCTGGTTTGAGGAGATTCTTTCTTCCCCAAGGGCAGAACCAGCCATCATCGCTATTTTCTCGCCAGATGGCTCCCAAGAGAAAGACACCCCCCGATCCCGACCCGGGATCACCCAATGACTCTCCTGTGGCCAAGAAGCCAACCATCAAATCATGCCCCTCCTGTGGATTGACCAACCACGTCAGACCCTTCACCAAGAAAGCACAGCCAGAGTCGACAGCAGCCCTGCCTCTGGCTCTGCCTCGGTCGCTGAAATGGTCAGCCAAGCACCCAAGGTCCCTGTATGTGCCACGTGCAAGCAAGAGGGTCATGCCAGAAGCAACAGTTCATTGTGTACCAAGAAGAACCCACTCTGGAGCTCTACCTTGCCTGACTGTGGCCCCAACGAGTATGCCAAGGCCGAGTACTCAATCATCAAGTGCACTCTCGATGCCATCATCAAGAACGATGCCTTGCACGACAAGATCGAGGAGACTGTCCGAGCCATGACTCAAGTGCAGTACGAAGCATCTCGTCTCCTGGAGCTGCATCTCAGGCGGTGCTTGGACAAGGGCATCACCCTCCCCACTGTGTCGTCGAGTGATCCTTCGTTTGTTCGAAAGTGTTTCAACATGGTGCATACCGGAGCAGTGGGTGTCAGGACAAACACCCCAGAAGATGACAGGCACATCCTCGATACCTATGACCTGTATCGAAGTACATGGAGTGGATCGTGTATCCTGCCTCCAGTATCCCTCCCGAAGGGTACTGGCTCACAGGTACTCACATTGGCTGTCAAAACCTATGCAGTCAACTGCGAGACCCACATTCTCGATCGATATTGGTCCCTTCTACACCGATTCTGCAATCTGGTCCTGGTTGCTCCGAAGGATGTCAAACGTCATACACACGTCGATGAGTGTATGAAGCTGATGGAGAACCCCCGATCCAAGACACTCCTCGGTGATCTGAGGAAGTCCTTCGCCCACCATGCCGACCAGTTGTATGAGCTTCGGTACGAAAACCACCAGGACCTGTACAAAGTCGTACCAATTCTGGCCAGTGAGGTCTTTCGCCTGACCCACCTGAAGGAGGCCCTCTTCATGGTGGTCTTTCAGAAGATGATCATTCCCAGGCTCGCGAGGGTGACCGATGTTCTGAAAGGAGAACGTGGACGACTGAATGAGGAAATGTGTCAACCCATCGAACGTAGGCAGTCGGATCAATACAACACACTCCAGACCCAGCACGAGGAGGTGGACAAGCAGATCGCTGTGAACATGAAACGGATCAAGCGACTGACCGATCGACTTGCCCAGACCAAGAAACGACTCAATGTCCCTCGAGCACAGTGTACCTTGGTCCCGCTCTGCGATGCCCGAGCCAAGTACATCAAGCTCGACACCAAAGCACTGTGGGAAATCCTTGGATACCAGACTGGCACTGGACTCAAGTGGGGCGACCTGAAGACCAAGGTCAACGACACCACAAAGCAAGAGACCTTCTGGCAGACCAACTTCAAGCTGGATCCGAGACTCTTTGGTGCCAGGGAGGAGGGAAAGCAGCTCTTTGGTTGCGAGATCACCGCCGATGGAGTCGGGTGCTCGATCACCACGCTCAGATACAAGATCCTGGAGAAGGACCCTGATGTCAAGCCGGAATCCGTGGACAAGGACGACAACACACTCACTCCTGAGCAGAGGATCCAGGCCAGGGTCGGTCCCATTGACGACTCTCGGACCACATGGATTGGGATCGACCCTGGTGTGGGATCGATCTTCACCGCTGTCATTCGGGCACCCGGTCAACCATCCATCCAGGAGCAAGACGGTGTCAAGGTGACCAAGGCACAGCGTGCCAACGAGAAGATCGTGTCGTTCTCCAACAAGGAGTACCAGCATCGAACTGGCACCACCCAAGCGACCAAGTGGATCCAGAGCACCCACAAGATCATTGGTCTGCAGCAATGGATGAGCACCACACCGAGCCCCAAGATCCCTGGAGTGGCTTCCTTCCTGTTATACATTCGCCATGTGTTCACTGGAGACATGCTGGACAAACAGCTGTACTTCAGCCTGACCCGGCGACGGCGATTCAAGCGACTCGATCTCTACGGCAAGCGACAGCGCACCGTCCACGAGATGTGCAAGCAGGTCATCGACCAGGCACCAAGGGAGACCGAAGTGGTGATTGCCTTTGGGAATGCCTCGTGGAAACAGGGGAAGGGATATGCTTCCAGTCCCAGGAGACTCAGGTTTGCCAAGTACTTTGAGCAGTTCCACCACCACCAGAGACGACCACCAGACCGACCCGTCTCCAAGATCCATGTGTGCTCGGTGAACGAGTTTAACACATCCCAGGTGTGCTCACATTGTCGGGAAGCCAAGCGACTCGAGTCACCCGAGTATCTTGATGTCGAGAAACCACACTTTGTCCGGAGCTGTGCAAGCTGCCATACGCTGTGGGATCGAGACATCAATGCAGCCAGGAACATGATCTCAGTATGCCAGTCGATCATCGCCACAGGAGATCGGCCGGGTGTATTCAAGACTGTGCTTCCCAAACCAACAAAACAAAGAGATTGCCAACCAGGACGGGAAACAATCGCACGACCTGCCCACTGGGGTCTACAGTCAGTCAGCGGGTTTCAAACATCTGAAGCCAGAAAGGGGAAGTGTCCCGTTTCTTTCTGGATTGACTGTAAGTATCTTGAGTACTTCGACAGTGGATGCCGGGTCGCCCATATTCTGGGCAGTCCACTTCGGGGTTGCCATCCCTCTTGGGATGGTCGATGGGAGGTGTTTGACTCCCTTGTGCAAAGTGTGTGTGTGTGCAGAGTGTGTGTGTGTGTGTGTGTGTGTGTGTGTGTGTGTGTGTGTGTGTGTGACGGCGAGAGGCTTCTCGCCTTCCCTCGGGGGTCTCTCGCCAGAGACTGCTCTTCTCGCCGACCGAGGTGGCTCCGAGAGCGCGTTTTTTCGTTCTCGCCCATTTTTTTAACAAGAGATTTTTTCAGTGTCCCCGTCCTTCTTCCTCTGACTCCCTGATCAAGTTCGTATCGAGTTTCCCCCTCCCCAGCGCCGCGAGCAGTCCCCCCCCTCCACTCTCCCTGCAAATATGCCGCGAGAAATCATCACCATTCAAACGGGCCAATGCGGAAACCAAAGTGGGTTTCTCCCTGCACCGGGAGTTTAGTGTTTGGAACCGTCGCCTCCAGATCGCCTGTCAATGTGACCCATGCGATCAGCCGCTCCATCCGATCCACCCTCATAGATCCTTCCTCTGGCACACACATTGCCGGATCATGCGCTCCGTATTCGCGCTGCTTACAACATGTGCTCTGTTTTCCCTGTTGCCTTCCTTCGTCAAGTTGGCATGGAGTTCTGGTCGCAGCTCTGTGCCGAACACGGAATCAGCCCTGACGGCATCCTTGAAGACTTTGCGACCGAGGGCGGTGATCGAAAGGATGTCTTTTTTTACCAAGCCGATGATGAGCATTACATTCCCCGAGCTATTCTCCTTGATCTGGAGCCCAGAGTAAGCCTCGAGCCAACGACACTTTCGTCGCTTTGTCAACCGTTGTAGGATGGGAACATCGGCCCAGCCATCATCCTCCAACAAGCCACCAGAAACAATGTGATGGCTATTGTATTTCCGACCTCGCGATAGGCACATACCGAGCTGGCATGGGCATTGCATTCAGCAAGTGCCACATCGGGCTCGTCTCGTGGCTCCTTCCGAGACCAACCGGATCACTCGTTGTCGATGGTAGAGCCTGGAGACGGTGCTCGGATCTCTTTCTGATGATCACTGCCTTGGACCGACACATTGCGACAGGTTATCAACACCATTCTTCAGTCGCCCTATGCAAACCTATACAACCCGGAAAATATCTTCATGTCGCAGGAAGGCGGCGGCGCGGGCAACAACTGGGCGAGTGGATACTCGAATGGAGAGAAAATCCACGAAGAAATCATCGATATGCTGGATCGAGAGGCCGACGGAAGCGACAGTCTCGAGGTATGTGCTTACACAAGCGCGGAGGACCTTGATGCTCGCAGCGACCATATAGCCACGTCCAGCAGCATGTCCTGCGTCCTGGAGCCCGATCGATACAGAGGCTCCGTACTGACATTTCTCCTTCCGGTGAACTTCTTGCCCAGGGTTTCATGCTGCTGCACTCGATTGCCGGCGGAACAGGATCCGGTCTGGGATCCTACATTCTCGAAACCCTCAATGATCGCTACCCCAAAAAGCTCATCCAGACTTACTCGGTCTTTCCAAACAGCGAGGAGACCAGCGACGTTGTTGTTCAGCCCTACAACTCGATTCTCAGTCTCAAGCGCCTGACGCTGAATGCAGACTCGGTCGTAAGTAGCTGGCCACTGCCCGTCGCTGACACATATGATTTCGATAATCGACCACTGTCGATTTGAGGCGAGGATCTTGCCATCGAGGCGGTACAGTCATGTATCACCTGTCACTCCGGCCCCATTGACAATCACGCACCGATACATCGATTCTACGATACCTCCTCAGGTTGTGCTGGACAACGCTGCCCTCAACCGCATTGCCGTGGACACCCTGCACATCCAGAACCCAACATTTGCGCAGACAAATAAGCTGGTACGTTTTGGTGCTACCGAGCATGGGTGATCGTCGCCGATCGATTGAATCCTTGTCCGTGGCACCAATGAGCAACGGAATCTGCGAGTCCAAGTGTCCTTACACCTTGCATGCGCTTGTTACTGACAAATCGAGCTGACTTGGCCCTTTGTCAGGTTTCGACGGTGATGAGCGCCAGCACAACTACTCTGAGATATCCCGGATACATGAACAACGATCTTGTGGGGCTAGTGGCATCGCTGGTGCCAACGCCCCGTTGCCACTTCTTGCAAACAAGCTATACACCCTTCACCGGAGATGGTGGCGAAAAAGTAAGTATGGGCTCATCTAGCAATCCTTCGGTTGGCCTGACTGCCTTTAGCACGATCGGCGAATGTTGACATGAACAAGAGTCTGTGAGGTGTCCGGACGACGTGGCCAAATGAAGTCTGTCGTCCTGCGCATTTTGGTTCGTCGGCTGCGCCCTGTGACTTCCATTCACCCATTCCCCAACCTTCATTGTCGCGATTCGCCACTCATTTGAACCGCCTCCTGCAGCAAAGCATCCGAAAAACCACAGTCCTCGACGTCATGCGACGGCTGCTCCAGCCCAAAAACAAGATGGTCTCGACAAACCCATCGAAAAAAAGCTGCTACATCTCTATTCTCAACATCATCCAGGGCGAGGCTGATCCCACAGATGTGAGTTTGATCTGCTGAAAAGTGAAGCGGCCTTCTCTGTTGTGACTCGGGAATGAGATGGAGGCGGAACTCTTTGAATTACATGTTGACACGCTGGCTGGACTTGTAGGTGCACAAGTCTCTGCTGAGGATCCGCGAGCGCCGTCTGGCCCAGTTCATCCCTTGGGGCCCAGCCAGTATCCAAGTGGCCCTCTCACGGAAAAGCCCATACATTCAGACGCCCCACCGGGTCTCGGGATTGATGCTTGCCAACCATACCAGCATCGAATCGGTATGTTTGTTCTGGGAAATTTTCGCCATACAGCCCTCGAGCGATACCGATCGCAGCTCGGCAGACCCTTGGATGTTGGATCGATGCAAGGCCTCGAGTTGATGCCCGATACTACCAGCTCGTTCCTTGGTCGCACTTGCCCGCTGCAGACCTTGGGCTGACTCACAGATGGCTTGTTTCTGCAGCTCTTCAAGAGAACATGCGATCAGTACGATCGTCTGCGGAAGCGCAACGCTTTCCTCGAGCAATACAAGCGCGAGCCCATGTTTGCTGATGGCTTCGCCGAGTTTGATTCCTCGCGGTAAGATCATGACTCACTTCAAACGGCACCTGCACATCGGCTTGGAACTTGCCGTTGTTCTTGCGGTTACTGAGACGTGTTTTCCTGTCAGGGAGGTCGTTCAGGAGCTCATCGGTGAATACGTCGCCTGCGAAAGTCCTGACTATGTCAACTATGTAAGTGTAGCTGTGCTGTGCACGCGCTCAGGGGGACATGATGATCAACACCGTCGCTCGAAATACAGAGGTCGCAAAGGCTTCGTAGGCATATCCTCAAAGCCGACTGGAGACCTATTTGTTGCGGTTGTGCATGGGGTGGTTGACTGCGATTGATCGTTGACCTGGATCTCATATATCTCCCGACCACCGGTCCACCAAGATGGGCGGCAAACCACAGGCCAGCGCCCCTGCATCGTCCCGACCCACCAGCACCCTTGGGATGGACTTTACATCCCGACTTGGATAGCGAATCGGTGCACTACCCATCCTGCACATATGTACTTTCGCTGCGACGGGCATCGCCCTTACTGATCTAGCTCGTGCAAAACCAAACGGCAGCCCCCGTTGTCGCCGCCACAGCCAGAGACTTGAATCACCGTTGCCGAGTTGGGTCGGATATGGGTCGAATTGGGTATCGAGCTAGGAAAGATATGACGGATGTGACTGTGGGAGGGGAACAACTCTGCGATCGATGTCTCATCGGCCGAGTGCATTGCGTCCGTGCGAGCGCCGTGTGATTCAGCCATGCGGCCGATCAATGCCATTCAATTCATGACTCATCCGAGCATTGAAGTGCCCCGTTTCAAGGGTGCGCTGTACACTTTATTCAGAAAAAAAAACGGGACAATATAGCCGTTTCCATGAACATGTAGTATGTGCTGTGCTTGCGTCAAGCAAAGCCACAAGAAATAAAGCAGATCACTTTGGCAGCCTCCGAGTGAAGACCACCGGTCGCCCTCCGGTCTCCACAATCGACTTGCACACTGTGATCATGTTGCGCGCCGCATTGACGTCGCGATTCCACACTGTCCGGCAGCTGGGATTCTTGCAGCTCCTGACAAAGTGGGAATTCGCAACACTGGGCGCATCGAGTCCTTCCAACCGAACTGGCTCCAGGCACTTGGAGCACACTTGCGAGGTGTTGAACTCGTTCGTCGAGACTACCTTGACGCTTCCATGATGGTGATTGGGACGGCGTCGGTGGTGCTCGAACTGCTCAAAGTACCGAGCAAACCGCTGCCTCCGAGGGCTGGATGCATAGCCCTTGCCCTGTCGCCATGATGCATTGCCAAAGGCGATCACCACATCGGTCCGTATCGGGGCGTGCTTCAGGACGGCCTTGCACATCCTGTCGACGGCCACTTGGCGCCTCTTGTGGCCCGTGAAGCGATGGTGACGGGCCTTCTTGCCAAGGTGGAAGTCGAGCTGCACTCGCAGCTCCGGTCGCAGGACATGGGTGAGATGGACCTTGAAGGCCTCCGAGGACGACACCTTGGGCGAGGGGGTGGTCGACATCCAGGTCTCGATGCTGAGTCGATACTTCATGATATTGTGCCACTTGGTGTTGGACGTATGGCCACACATGTGCTGGTAGTGGCCATTCGAGAATGAGACCACCTCGTCTTGTTGGCCCGGTGCTTGGATGACCGCCGTGAAGATGGGAGCCGACGCCTGGGTCGATTCCAATCCAAGTGGTGCGATCGGGGTCTGGGTCGCCGATGTGGGCCTGGATACGCTGCTCGGCAGTCGGAGGAGGCTCGATGGTCTCGGTGCGATCGGTTCGACGCACAAACTTGACGAGACCGATGGTGCATCCAATGCCATCGGTGCTGATCTCGTAGTTGAACAGCTTCTTGTTCACGTCCCGCTCTTGGAAGAGGGAACTACGCAGCTTGAAGCAACTGCGCCAGAGACGATCCTGGTTGTTGACACCGTCCTCGCCTTCATCCTTGAGCATGTCCCTGGTGAGTCCAAGGCGCTTCTTTGGACCCAGGAGTTCCCAGAGAGTGACCGTGTCGATCTTGACATACTTGGCCTTTGTAGTGCACTGAGGGACCATCGTGCACACGGCCGGAGGAGTGTCAAGAGCGAGCTGCTTGAGTGCCCAGTTGATCCTGGATGCCAGCTTGTTGATCTTGGACTTGGTGGTGCCGAGCTCAGACTTGGCCGTGGTGAACCTCTTGTCGTCGGAGGGAATGCCTCGGGCAGTGAGCTCGTCCAGCTTGGCCTGGCGCTGCAGCTCGGTGACTCGGAGGGCGGGCATGTCACAGTCGATCCACTTGTGGACATTGTCGACCATCTTGTCTCGGGCGAGGATTCTCACATGGTGTGAGAGGCGATGGAGGGCCCGGAAGCGGTCCTGGTCGTTGCTGTACCGAAACTCGTCCAGGACGTGGCCAAAGTCGGGATAGAGGAACTCGAGATCGGCCTTGGGTGGAGTCTGCCCTGGTTTCTCGAAGAGCTCGAGACAAGCCTCGATGGCTTCGTGCTTATGCTTGTTGGCTGGGAAGACAGCAGCACAGAAGCGGCGAAGGAGTCGCCAGTAGGCCAGGTTGAGGTGGGTGGTGCAGTTGGTGGCATAGGCATTGACAGCCAGGGTGAGAAGCTGACTGTGAGCACCATCAGGCAGACGAGGGGCCGGAGGCAGGTCTGCGTGCCGAGTGGTCTGGTAGATGCCAAAGGAAGCGACCAGATGCTCGTTGTATTTCTCATTGTCCCCTGTCGGGGAGAGGGCACCGGCCTCGACAATCGTGAAGCATTGACGGATGAAAGCAGGGGTGGACTTGGAGATGACGGGGACGGGAAGATCCTGCTCGATGCACCGGAGGATGTGCAGGTTGAGCAGCCTGGATGCCTCGAACTGGATCTGGGTCATGGCCTCGACGGTGGCCTGGATCTTGTCGCGGAGAGCGGGATTGAGACAACAGCCATCCATCGTCTGCTTGAAGCAGCTGAACTGAGGGGCGGATGACCTTCCATCCACGAGTGGGACGACAGAACTCTTGAGGGGCCGGTATTTGGGACATTTGCTAGTGTTGCAACGTTCGTGATCGGTGCCATCGCACTGGCGACATCGCTTGCCAGTACTCGAGGAAGTAGATGGACCAGGCTCGGTGGGATCGACATCCATTGGATCTGCAGAAGCAGTGGTGGTGAGCAACGGAGCAACAGAGAAACAAGCATGCGTGGGGTCAGAATACGAACCAGAGACAGGCTCCGACTGTGACTTGGCTTTCTTGGGCCTGGGTGGCCGAGGCTGGCCATCGCCAGCACCCTTGCGCTTCGGAGGCATGGGGGCAGAGGATGCTGGATGCCTGCCAGTGGTACTGGTCAGAGCAGAGACTTTTTTTTATCGTACAATAGCGCGATGATCCGATCAAGGCGAGATGAGGGAAGAAAGCAGCAGGACGAAGGTGTGGCATTTATACCCGAGAGCAGGAGCCCGTCGTTGCGGGCTGGTTGGGGAAGTGACCCTGTTCAAAAATCGCCGAGAGGTTCAAGCCAGGGATGTGAACGCGAAAATGGCGGAGTTGACGTGATTCACACCCAGAAGCGCATCGCTCGCTCAATCAGCCGTGGGAAGACATCTGGAAGCACCCTCCGCACGGCAGACTCGAACAGGGTCACCATCCCGACTCTGAACCCCTCGGACGCATTCAGCGCTGTTGTCTTCCTGTACTGATGCTTCACAACCCCAAAGAAGTTCTCGATGGGATTGAAGTCGGGCGAGGCAGGTGGGGTGAAGATCACTGACCATCCTCGGCGCTCGATGCAGTCCAGGACAGCCCTTGTCTTGTGCATGCTGACATTGTCCATCACAATCACAGAGTCGTCTGGGAAGCTCGCTCGCTCAAAGAACTCGACCATCGAGTGTGTCTTGAATGATGTGGGGATGTACATGCGATGCAGCACACCAGAGTGGTTGATTGCAAATGCAGCCGAGACAGACTTGTGTTTCATGTGATTGCGCTGGCGAAGCGGAGCACCCTTCGGCGAGTATCCGTAAAGAGGGAAAATGGATCTCCTGATCCCTGTCTCATCGACAAAAACGAGCCGTCGTGGGTCGATGGAGCGGGCCTGGTCCCTGAACTGTGCCACTCGCTCATCCAGTCGCTTGGACTTGTAGAGGTGTGTTGCCCTCTTGTGTGAGAGACCTGCTCGGTGGATGGCAGTGTGGCAGAGTGAGAGTGATACTTTCCTCTGGAGGATGGACTCGAGCTTGCATCGCAACACAGGACCAGTCTGGAACGGGTCCTGTTCAATCAGGGTGCGAATGACTGGACATGCCTGCTCGAAGAAAGTGGATCTGCGAGCTGGGACCCGGGATGGGTCATCCAGCTTGCATCCTCGGTGCCATCGATGGATGGTGCTCTTGGATACACTGAATATGGAGGCAACCTTACGCAGGCTATGGATGAGGGCGTAGCATCGCAATGCGGCGGTGCGAAAGTCGGATGTGTGGCGAATGGTCATGGCCAGCGCGCGATAACATTGGGTAACAAAATATTCGATGAATGGTCAAAAACCCGGGTGTCCCGTTTTTTATTGGATTGCCTGTAAAGCATGCGTTCGCGGCAACAACCATACGCCGGAGAGCAGTTGATTGGGGACATTGGGCGACAGTGCCGAGCCTGGTGCTCATCGGGTCGATCGGCGGCAGTGCTGGGTGGAAATCTTGCATTTTCTAGTTAGACAACGAGCTGCTGGGCTCACAGCCCTTGCTGCCTTGGAATGCGGGCCAGACACCTCGCCCGCACAGCCCTCCGGCTCTGTCTTGATCTGCCCCGACATCCGAAATGCATGGCCCCCAGCCGTCCCGGAGGGTGCTCTCCATTCAGTCGCATGTCGTCTATGGCTACGTCGGTAAGGACAGGACTCGTTTGTATCGCTCCAAAGGAGAGCCACCCATATGCCCCTCATTGCTCTGCAGCAGGGCTCCTGCTCATTGGCGGCACTGCATCCGCTATAGGAAACAAGGCCTCCACTTTTCCTCTCCAGCTGCTTGGATTCGATGTCGATCCCATCAATACCGTCCAGTTCTCCAACCACACGGGTATGTGCATCGTATACAACCCAGCAACTCTCTGCAACACTCGCGCCTAGTCATCCTCATCAGAATGGCAAAGCCAGGGGTGCGATCGGCGCTGCGGTTAGCTTGCTCGCTGTTGTGGCTGATCCTGAGGGGAGGAGATCGGGCGTCGGCCGTCTGCATTCGGTTGACCGCCCGGAAGACGCTGTCTGACCGGGCTATTCCGTTCTGTTGATCGTCTATTTGCTCGGCCTGGTGTTTTGTGCGGGTTTACCTCGGGGTTCAACAGGTTATCCAGCGTTTACAGGACAACGGATCGATGGTGACCAACTCGAAAGCCTTTTCGATGGCTTGGAAAAGAATGGAATGCTCAACGATTATTCGAATGTCATCACAGGTGAGAATGGGGAGAGGCGATGCGTATCTTTGGCATTCAATGCGATAACTCGAACAGCATCCAAAATGCAATCAAGCAAAGTGCGCTCAGCTCTTGTTCTTGTGGGCGCCGTGGGCCGATCTGCAGCCTCATATGTCTGTCAATATGCTCATAGGATACATTGGTAGAAAGAATACCCTTGAGGTGACCCAGCGGTTCATCGAGAAGCTCAAGCGGAAACATCCCTCAGTCCAGTATGGTAAGAAGCGGTATGAATTGTTGATGCGCATCACAGCACGTCGCCAAAGTCGCCATCTCGGCCGCTCCGATGCCGTTATCAGCAAGAGCATTCCAGGCACCGCGAGTGCTATTTTGTCTCGGCGCTCGGTCATTGTGTTTGATGCTCGCCTGATCTGAATTCATGCTCATGTTGTGTCTCTAGTTCTGGATCCGGTGATGGGCGACGAGGGCCGGCTCTATGTTTCTGAAGAGCTCATTCCGATCTACAAGCAAATGTGTCGTC